GAGTTTAATCCATTCTCAATATTAGGCTGGCGCTCATTTTTGACATTCATTTCAGCAATTCTTAGCTTTTGTCGCGAACTCTGTTACAAAGAAATAAAAAATATCACTCATATTGAGAGGACATTAACGGAGACCAAATAGGGACCGACAATTTAGTGCAGAGTGCATCTCTTCTGCCAAATTCGACCAAATTATGTCTTAGGTGACACTTCCACAATAACACATTTTGCAGTCCGAGAGTTTCCTTAATAAATGTATATTCTTGCTCAGAATGCTAACAATAAGAGTGGATTCAATAATTGGGATACCATCATAATGCGTGTGTCTCAGCCTTTTTCGATGATTTTATCCTTTGTTGTGCAACTTGATCCTTCTAAAATACGATGCTGCGTTCCAGTAATCACACAATCTACCCTCTATCACTCCAGCATGGTTTGTTCTGTTTTCGTGTGAAAAGGGTGGGGGCTTTGGTCAAGCATGCCTTCCAAGAAGATTTGCTATCGGGTTTTTTTCACGCTCTCAGACCCTGATTTGAAATAGGGGGTTTTGTGAATTTATTCAAAATCATAATCGTTTACGATCAAAAAATTTATTCATCACAGCTCCATAACTCGTGTGGACAGCTTTCAAGAATTTTGCACAATCTTGGAAACTGTAGGTACCGCTATCTTCAAAGGTACAAACTTCAAGTAAAACCAACAAGTCGTTTCGCATTTGACGTTGTGTTTGATTTGGTTTATCAAGTTTTTTGACCTTCTGATTCGAAAAAATATGGGAATCACTGTCTGATGATATTCTGGCATTGGTAGGAAAATACTTGAATAAATATCAACAATAATTCAATAAATATGATTACGAATATGATTTTTTGACAATTGCGTACGAGAAAGTATGCATATAAACTGCGCCTTCAATTTTATACTACTATGACTCTTGGGTGTAGATGATGGCTGCAGGTAGAATTAAAAATTTGTTAGATTGCGGTAGATGGCTTGTTTTTATGTTCTGTAAGGTCTATCAAATTCAACTTCACCAGTACCACGCCAAAAATGAGCTGCTCTTTACAGAAAAGCGAAAAGAACTTTGCAGGATTAGGAAAAAATAAGGTCATCAAGTGGTAAAAATAGACTTTAGGTGTCAACTTGAGGGCAAAAAATTGCAAATAAAGAGTTCCATGCCTCTTCGTTCATATGAAAGTGTTTGGGTGTTTTTCATTCAAATATAACAAAATAGACAATTCGGATCTCCTCAAGCACTTTTGTTCTCATCAACTCCTTCGTATTCAAACCATAAACCAAATAAAAATTATTTCTGCGATTGGCTTACACTTTGCAGACTTTAAAAATCTTTCTTCCTTGATTTGAAAGTTTGAGATAACTATAGATGAACCGAAGATCGAGTTATGTGAGTTAGTTAGAAAAACCTGCATCACTTTTGCCGTCTATGGCCTCTGCCATATCGAATTGTCTTGCAAAATGGAACTCCTTTTCGTTCAGTTATTTATTTACTCAAATATTTATGCAGATGGGGTCGAAACAAATTGCTGTCACGCCCCTCCTTAGTTTAGACTCTCCCGCCCAAGTCGTCATTTTCGAACAACGGTGTAATCATATCGATAATTAAACTCATCGCAGGCTGGATGATTATCCTTTCTGAAAAGGTGGAGATTTTAAGACCCTCTAATTGTGGTTCAGCCCCGTTCTGGTTCAGCATTGGTGCTTGACGTGCAGCGTCGATCGCCTTACGACCTGACCTGAATCCATCTCTGACACTCAAGTTCTCCTCAATGGAAGCGATCGGACGCGGTTCACTTTCACTTGGCATCGTTCAGAAGGACCCTTCTTGGATAGAGCTGAAATTTTGCGGTGTGGGCCTGATCACTAAGTACAGATGTTTTGTCGAAGTGTCTATCATTGGAAGTTCTGTCAGATAAGGAATTAGAGCGGGCAATAAAGGCACTTAAACCCGAAATTTCAGATCCTTTTTTCCTGTGAGCCTCACTTGACAAATTTTCTCTTCGCCGTATTGGGAGTCTATAGTCGATCGATGAAGGAACTTACAGTGTATTTCTTTCTCTCATGATAAAATTCCGTAACAGGGAAACCACCAGCTTAAATATCGTTTCTTAATCTAGCATGCGAAGGAAACGGTCCTCACTGCAAGCGAAATCATTGTACTTTTGGAGAAAAAGGTCCTATATGGAAAGCTAGTTCAAAATGAAGCATGTAGCCTGATGTACTTCGCTTGTGTTCGTCAACATATCTGGAAAAGCAAATCTCTCACCGTTCCTTAGTAAATGATATCCTCACAACTTTTATGCACGACTTCTTGTTCCTTCCGTATTAAGAATCGTATTCCTACTGCAAATTCTCATAACAAGAGGTGTTTCCCAGTTTCAAACACTTAGCAAACTTTTTGGAACTGTAAATCCACAAGAAAGTGTAGGGTACAAAATTCTAAGCAGTAGCGAGATGTCAAGTGTTGGTACTCATAGGTAGATCATTTTTGCCCTCCCTCCATCTGAAAATGATTCGTAAGTAGAAGTCTAAAGGTCATAGCAGTACATAGTCAAACTGTTGTTTTTTTAATAATCAAGATAGTTTAAATAAAATTCTAAAACTGATTCCTTACATTTCTGGGACGTGGCATCAATTTTTCTCACTTTTTAGCTAGCAAGAAACGAAATCAAAAAGCTTTTTGAGACCTTGCTAACCCACTGCCGCTTCATCTAAAGAAAATGTGTCCCCCCTCCCTCTTCATAAAATCTGTCGACCGCCATTCGGGATCTACAAAGTTCCCTAGGCTAACCTTAGTTTATTTTTTGAGGAGGTACCTGGGAACGAAGCGTGTTTTCGACTTATAGCCTGGGTCACGCGTCTCCTACAAAGTACTTTCATACCGTACCCTAATTGAGTTTACCACGTACAGAGCGACTTCCGGAGTGCTGGTGTGACCAGCGTAGGTGCAGCATCCAGCTTGAGAACGCTGTTTTTACGATTCTCCGGGTTTTTATGAGCCAGAAAAAGTGGCAGAAGAAGCGAATTGATGAGATTCCTTCCGAATGCTGCCACGAAACGATCAGGCGCGGTTGCGCGTCCGAACCTGGTGCTACTGTGCGTGGCGGTGCGGCGGCCTCGCCCCGTCCCCCCCCCCCCCCTCCGATCTGCTTGACGGGTTCCTAATCGTCGCGAAGAGCGCAGTACGTGTGCGGGCCGGGCCGTGCGGGCGCTGCGCGAGATGCGACGAGGAGTGCCGTCAAGTCTTGTTCCTTGCAGGTTCTGGCCGCGGCCCCACACAGCCCGACCGACCGACGTCGTCCCACTTATACCCGCCTCGGTGCCCCAGTTAGGGAGTCCGCCGCACATACACACACCACTCACATCAACACCTACGTCTTTCTCATACTACTGCACGCATCCTTCATCCGCTCTCATGGCCCTGTTCCAGCGCTGTGTTGTTCTGAATGCTCTGTTTAGCCGATTTCTAGCTCGCCTTCTCATCCTTTTTTGCGCGATTTTGCAGCCGCTTTACGCTGCGCTTGTTCGAAGTTCCCGTGTAGCTAGGTTATCAACAATCGTTACATTCTCTTCTGCAAGTGAGAATCAGTCGTAGAATTTGAATGAACCTCACATAGCATACATAATCATCCATGTCGCTGGGAGAAAATGAGAAATCTCGCAGTTGCTTCTAATTCGAGGCAACTCTTGATACTTGATCGGAATGATCGCTGGGTGATCTCTCAGAGCAGGTTTTTCTCCTGGAAAGATCAGTTTGCCAAGGTTTTTAGACAAGGTAATATATAATTTGGGACAATAAATCTATGCTAAATAATCTAATTCTAAATCTAAGGTATTTTTTGCTTTCAGTCCATTTTTGATTAGTGTTTAAAAATAATATCATAAGCCAACCATATCACTGTTCAAAAATACTTTGAAAGGGAAAAGTTTAAATCGGAATTTGAAGCGACAGGGTTACAATGCACATCCATCTGTAGTCTTGATAAACCGCTGCAGCTATTCGATTGCTTGAAAGTATTGCCAAATTTCGCTCAAATTTTTATTGAAATTACAGCAATGCTGTAGGGAGTGTGCAGCTGCGAGTGCTCAAAATTACAGTTGTTGCGGCATTTTTCCATTTTTCGGCCAGCAACTCTGAGGACAAAATTAGCTCTGGAAACTCTTGAAGCATAGCTTGGTCGTGCCTTCGCAAGAACTCAATCCAGTACTGAAAGTTGAACTGTACTTATGCAGCTTGTTTGGCAATAAAGTCACCGAATTTCATATTTTAATCTTATCACTTCTAATAAACTCCTGAAACCTTCACAGATCCGAAATAGTACGACCTAGTAACTTTTGGTATTCTTGCATCAACTCATCCACCTCCTTCGTTCTCCTTTACCCTCCTGAGATCGCGCTTTACCGTATCCTCTCCCTGGACTTGGGAGAAACTCTTGGAGCCTACAAAATCATCACTAGAAACAGCCTGTGCTATTCCTACTGAATCACTTATTCATACCGTATATCACCAGTACACAGTCGTGGTACTCCTTCTCACTGCCACCGTAGCCGTCGCAGCCGTTGCGTTCGTTCCAGCTCGCTGCAATGCTCGTACGCAACTTCGGCTGCGCTTGCGGTGAGGCGGCGGCGAGTTTTTGTGGGCAGCTCTTTGCCGATTGCGGATGCCTGTCAGAATTGCTTCCAGCCGCTTTTTCGACCTCGTTTTTCGAGGTCACACACACTGCAGGCAGAACTGTCTGTCTGTGAGTGTGCGGTTGTAGCGTACATGGTGTGCGTGACCCGTTCTGGGCCAGTCTTGATTCGTATTGATCGGCCTTCAGCCCATCCGACAGCATCCGTCAAGTGGGTCATCAGGAGCTGCGGCAAGGACTGTCCGATCCGCGGCCTGTCGCGTGGCCGTCACGTTGCTCGTTCGCGCGCTGCGATCTCGTCGCGTTCTCGCAGATCCGCTCCGTTTCGGATTCTCTATTCATCATCGTCATTTTCAGGCCCGCACTATGGCCGCCAAGTTCTTGGTGGTCGAAGTCGACGACAACAACGCAGCCGTGGAACTGGTTCAGCTAATGGTGAGTCCTAGCCGATCCTACAGGCGCCGCCAAGCTTGTCCTTCAGCCGTCTGCTAGTTTACGAATGATTGCAGTTAGAGCGAGGATTTGCGCGGCTAATGTTGCTGGACGATCTGAGTAAGCATCCGGCGCTGGCACTTCGCCAGCAATTGCCCGTCATCACAGAACCGTCCACGCCTTCCAGTTCCGAGCCGGGATTTAGTCTCGAGAAGACTTCATTAAGGTAAGATTCCTTACAAGTAAAGTAAATCCTAGCAGAACTTCTAGGCAAGAAATTCATAGGGGCTACAGAAAGGTGTGGCGAGATGGGACGAAAGAGATTTCAACCACTTTCTCTTCCTTTTAGTCGCAATCTTTACTCAAGTGTGAATCCCAAGCATAGGGTACACGCAGTATTGCCGGAACTCTCTCTTTCCCTTTTATCTCCTTTTGTTACCTTCATTTTCCGGTGACAAGCTCACATGTGAGTAGCAGTACCTTGGATCCGAAATAAATAGGGAAACTGATGCCAAAGGTGCAGCTGATTAAATCACGTTGCCATCAGCTGCAGATTTTGACTGATTTTGGCATAAAAATTACTCAGGCATTTGCAAATTCTGTATATTTACTGTTTGCCAACCCTAGATTCATTTTCAACTTTTTCTATATTTTGTGATGACACAATTTATGATTACTACTAAAGGTTGCAGTTGCAGTGCCCTCATACCTTACGAAGTTCGAAAGATTTTTAATTTTTCCTCACAATCCAGGTTCTTACCAGGCACAACTACAGTGAGGAATCACGTCCTGAAGTTCCAAGCCTTTTTATGGTCGTTGATAGACCTACTTTCTCTCTTTCCTGTACTTCAAACGCTCTCTCCGTTATTAGCTGTGATGCAACCTTCAAGAGACTTCTTTCGCTTAGTGCATCACATACTCTCTGTCTCTACTTCTTTAGTCTAGTTTGACAAGTGCGTAAAAGACTCTTTCCGTAATCAAGCTCTTGACCTAGAACTCACTGTGCTTCACAGAAAAAGTGCAAGGTGCTGTTTCTTACATTTTGCAATCCTTATTTTTCATTTCTCGTCTCCTCTTCGTTCCTAGTTAAATTTTGTGCCTGTTCCCTCCCATTCATTAGGGGGGGGGGCAATCTGCTCCGCCTGGTCCTTCGGAAGTGCGGAGTATTTTTTCTTAGGAAACTTTTTCAAAAAAAGCCTTTCCATTGAGATTTGCTAATAATTTGGAAGGAATCATCTTTTTTTTCGATATCTCATGTTCAGTTATTATTTATGCTTAGAGAACGATAGCTTTATAGGGAGAAGGATGTGAATAAAATAAAACGAGTATTTTCCTGTCTTGTCAGTGGCAGGGCTCAAGAGTTGGGAATCATTATAGTAATTTACTGCAATTTTTTGCAGTTTTTGGGACCATGCATGAAATATATCGAAAGGAACCTTCCGATATAGCATATGTAAAAAATTAACCTAGTTTACGTATCTACAACAAACTAGAACACAAAGACTAACACCAATAATCTAGAACATTGTCGTAGGTCAGTGCAATCCCTCCACTCATATTTTATCAGCTGTGAAGTGCTGTCTGTTGGCCAAACTGTCTAAAAGCGAACAAAATTCGTTATTTTCTCAAAGAATGGACGAGTCAGCCATTCTTTGAGAAAATATCCCTCATATCTTTAGGGCCTGCTCGGAAATTGAGGGGTAAGGTCTTTGAGCCTTCAAAATCAGTTTTTTCACAGAGGCTGTCTAATGTTTACAGTTCTTTTTGAAGTTCTGGGTAGAGCACAAATCTTTCATTTGACTGGGTACCTGCAATGCTGTGAAAAGGAGCAAAACACTTTATTTCAAAAAATTATGACTTTGATGACGAAGCCTTAAAATTGTGAACACTTAAATTTTAACAGTGAGATTATTTTTCTTGAGATCCTGATCGCTATTTCAGCGCTCCCCACGTGGACATTGAGTCTCTTGCGTCTCCTCTAATGTTCACTTGAACAATGTGTCCTTGACGGAGGACTGCTTGTGATTTGGCACGGGTTCTACCGCTATTGTTAACCGCACCGGGTTGATCGTAGAGCGGTTACGATAGTTTGCGAAACCACCTTTGTCTCCATGGGCTCCACTCGGTGCTACACTTGGGTCACGGTAATTACCGTCTGCGGGGTTACCAGCACCCACCAAATGTCAAATTATCGAAAAGTGCAACTAGCAAGTGCTTCTGCTAGGCTAAGATTCCACCGCCCCCCCCCCCCCCTTCCCTAGTCACTGCGAAACCTGCCACGAGCTTAGCAACGATGGAAAGAAACTTGTTTTCGTGCTAACCGCTTTGTCCTTTGAGAGGACTGTTCTTGTTCGAAACTTCTCAATCTTCAGCAGAACTGGAGCTGTAGCCCTATAACTGCCATCAGTCACACGCACACCCATACTTTACACTTTGAGGTGGAAAGGTTGTAAAGCCCTTAGCAGTTAAGAAAATCGTTTCACAAAGAAAAGTACTACGCAAGTTGCCAAAGGTGAGGAACGAAAGAAAAAAACATTTTTTTGCAGGGATATTCTCTCCACAAAGCCGAAAATGTTGCTGAGAGGTGGTGGATCGGATGACTCGAAAGAAGAAAATGATTTATTCGAAATTCTTGCATGCTCAAATCCGGAAATCATCAATGTTGGAGTGAAGGAGGAGATGGTAAGTATCAAAATAATGCATCATTCATTTTTTTACATTTCAAAGAAAAGAAATATCATACAGTAGCTCTTTCGTTCACCTGATACTATAGAAAAATGTGCCTGAAATCAATCAATGGCTCTCAAATTTTTTGACCAATGAAACATGTGTAAAATTTTAAATAATTCTGTGAAGCAGATGTTTTTCTAAGATATCAGGATCATAGGCCTGTGTAAGTCCAGCACTTTCCGAGGTTTCTTTCGCAGGGTGTGGCTTAGACCGTGCCCCTCCCAGGAAAAGTTATAGGCCCTTTTTCAAAATAAACCATCTATGACTGCTGGAAGTTTATTGCTTGAGTCTTATGAAGTTTTCTAAAGTTTCTATTTTTTCTGGACTAAAAACATAACAAAACCCAGGTTATTAAAACAACGACTCTTTTACTCTGCCTCAGGTAAAAATATTTAGTTGGTAAAAACAGTCTTTGAAAGTAAACAAGCTCTTTTTTTTGTATGTAAGGTAAGACCACAATCTTAACCATGTGGTCACTGGGAAACAAAAACCTCTATCGGTAAATTTTTGACCCATTCATAGAAATTTTTTCACAAGTAACACCTGCGTAAAATAGAATCCATATGTCAATATTGATTTTTGCTGTAGCTAAGCCAAGATGGTATGATCTTTTAGAATCCATATGGATATTATCAAAATATGTAACTTGTGGTAATTATTCGTAGGTTTTAAAGTTCCTCTAAATTCTAGTTTCAAGTAAAGGCTTATCGTAACAGCGCATGATAATTTTTTTTTCTCAGGCTTTGTTTTGTTTGAAATATTTCAAACAGAGTCACAAATAAGTAAGTTAATATTCATCTTGAATAATTTTAGGATGAATCGTTTGCTGATAACGAAGAACACTCTTTCACTTTCAACTTCGATCCCTCAACAAGTCAATGTAAGTCATCCCTTTACCTACTGAATTCGATAATTTCTAATATTCCTTTTCAAAGTTTGGTAAAATATCTGATAGTTTTTTATACAGTATATCATGTATAATGAGGATTCAAATGCAACTTTCTATTTTCATAAATACTCCTAATTTATATCTCGGAAAATTTTCTTTCTGGAATAAATTCCTTACTCTTTTTTTTGGAAAATTCTCAATTATCTTGAAATTGAATTATTATAAGACATAAAGTTTTGACTGAAATGCGAAATTTATTTCTGTATTTTAGCTCACCTTGATCTCCTTGCTCAAGCCCATTGCCTTGTCAGCAGCCCTCCCCGGGAAACCTCCCCACCGTCTGCCAAACGATCTCGAGCAACGAACGGCGATCCGAACAAGGACTATCACACTTGCCAGGTGGGTCGCGACATTTGTCATGTCATGACAATTTCCCGTCCAACAGCTGCCATAACAGATCTGCGGTACGCGAGTGAAAGCCCCACGTGGTGGACGGTGGAATCTGCAAATGCATGTGATGGCCATGCACTCCTCATTTCGACCGTATAAATGTCGTTCCTGTGATTTTCAAGATTATCGGTAGGAAGCTTGAACTCCGATTTCTCCTGAGACTTTTCTTGAAGAAAATTTTTTAAGGAAACCAGGCATGCGGAAACATTGCATACTTACTCACGGTGAAGATATGGATCCGGTAGACATTAGGTGAGGCGCACCTTCATGCTTTTTAGATCTACAGTCAACTAATATAAAGCAAAATACTTTACGGTGAATGAAGTCAAAGTCGATCAGCAAGAAATCTTGGATATGCATTTGCTTTCTGTCTTGTTTAGGTAGACATGAAATTAACTTATTGCTCCTTTTATTGGAAATTAGGAGTGCTAGTGAGTTTGGGTTGAAGAGCAAAAAAATGGAGGTTTACAACTTTAGGTGGTTTTTACAGGACAGTGATATATGGCGAATCGGGCCAAAAATGGGCGTGGCAGTTGCAGCAGTTTTGGAATAGCTGCTCAGTTGCCACGCCCCTTTCTAGGATTTTTGACTTGCTTTCGTCGTTGTTTTTCAATTCAATAGGTAAAGCTTCTGTTCTGTTATCGCCCCATTTTGTCCCAGTACGTCTGCTACACATATGTTTCGGAATCTAGTCGTGGAGGAGAACGATGGGGGGGGGGAAGGAGGGGGAGACGGGAGAGGGGTGAAATGGCTATAAAATTTAACTAGAGGGGCAATAACACCCGTTTCCTGCCTTGGGGGCTAGTGCTCCTCGCGTTAAACTATAGCAATTGCAAAAGGACCAGAAGTGGCGCCTGCGGCAGTAATGTTTCTATAACATACTTCGAAAAAGTGCTGTAGGTCGGCGTTTGCTATAACCTCCCCTCCTCCTCCCCCACTCCCTTCGGATATGAACACTAATCCAAAAACGACAGAATGTTCTAAACATTTCATAATACATATAAAGTTACAGCTTTTTTAGCATGTAAAGAGAATTGAAAATAAGCTTTTTATGTTTCTATAAATCACTTTTGTTGCCCATCGTATGTTTAATTTTTCCATTTAAAATGAATTCATTATCCTATACCTTGAAATTCCAGCAATGATGTGAAACGAGCCGAATGGGATAGTGTGATGCGACGGTGTTTCCCCGAGTTCGGCTATCGAACAGGATTTCTCATCGAATCGAAGCAAGCGCCTGTACCCGAAGCCTCTTCCTAGACGAAAATCATCACTTCTTGAGATACTCAGCATGCATTTTACCCCAAATCATGTTCAAGTGCACGTTTTCACTCTATACATATACATATTATTGATTCTCAGGTGTCGTTGTAAAATCTGTTGTTTTCTGGTTATGTTCTCATCATTGTACTATATAATGAAAATTATTTCAACTTGCGAAGTGTCAGTATTTCGGTATCCATTTGATTATACAGGAGAACGTAGAAGCAGTTGATGATAGTTGAAAATCCAAGATTTCAGAGTTGGGGTGGATTGTTTGTAAAATACAAAAATGCAGGGGGCTTTCAGCGCAAATCTTGATTTACAGTTAAGTAGTATCTCAAAACCCACAAATTCTCCTGGTACAGGTTTCTGTTTATTGTGCGCAACATTCGTGATCTTCACACTTGTAGCTCCCTTTTTAAAGCTCTATATCTCAAAAATTCGATAAAAAATCAACGAATTTCTGCATCATTTAGTCACCAAAAAAATTTCTGCTCCACGAGTTCATTTTTGATTCTCCTCGAACTACCATTCCCAATCCATGCATTCGTGCAAACTATCTGTAACATTTCTATTGGCTCCCAATTTTTTTATTCGCGAACTGCTACGATTGTAGATTCTACTTGAGCACCAAAAAGAGAGAAATTGACTGCAGGCAGGATTCAAAACTGTTAGAGCAGCTTGACTCAAGAACTGCATTTCTACGGGCGAAAGTTGATACAAAAAATTTTGTATGCTGAGAATAGCTTTGCACATTCTACAAAAAAACCAGGTGAGTGTGAACCAGGAAATATTTTCGCAATAACGACTTGATTTTGACAAGAGCAAGTACTTCTGTGCGTGTTGAAACGGAAAATATACGAAAAATAATGATTTTTCGTAATTTTTTCAAAATTAAACACTCTTTCAAAAAGAACGTTCAACGATTACAATGAAATTCTTGTAATTGCAAAACTTACCTTGATGAGTGAAACCCTAGTGGTGTTTGCCTTATAAGCTTATTTTCCGTAGCCAACATCAAAGCAACTCAGATTGCACTACTTGTATCTCGGCTAATACAAACGTTCCGTCGTATCTTGATCAAAAGCGTCATAAATTCTCATTTCAACCGATTTGTATGAATATCATGCGATTTATAAAAGCGTCTGAAGAACGTCTAATAAGAACAGATCTTCATTGGGGCTCGAAGTGGTTTTCCGATGATGCAAAAAACGCCTCCTGACTTTCGCAAAATTATACTAAGGCCTCTCTTACACTTACCCGAAATAATGGAATCGACTAAAAAAACGGAACATCGACTATAAAAAACCTAGTTTCGATCCCACAAAAACTATTTCACCTTTGCTTTTTCTGCCAAAACGATATCCAACTTGCTTATGAGTCACTTGTGCCGAATCCTGTCATGGAGAACGAGAGCGAGAAATCCAATACTAATTTATTGATATCAGCTTACCTCAAAATACCTCAAAATTTTGAAAGATTGCGACAAGCTCCGGAAGACAGAGAGCGAAATGATTTCAATGGCTTGCTTTTCCAGATCAGAGTATGTGTATGTGCCCAAACGTTAGAGATGTTAGAGATACAAAGCTGAGAAATGAAAAAAAAATGTTCATCATAAACTTGTGGGCCATCACTGTTCAACTTCACAACCTACTTTGCAAAAATAGAAAGAACGTAAAACTTCCAACACAATTTTCGAGAACGGTGCGGCGAGATTTTCACGTAGGTGCTGTCAGGTACTTGCGATTAGTAATTTGGCGTATCTTACGTGAAAATGGCGATTTTCAATGTTTTTTGACTTTCTGCTCGTATACCATCATTACGTACTTTCTGCATCGCCGAGAGTATAACAAAGTTGTGTTCATATTGATAGTTCCGGATGGTTAAATGCACTTCTTTAACAACAGTACCAATTTTTACTCTTTTGTACTATACTTTTGTTTTTGCAATTGAACAGGAGGAGGGGGGTCGCATAAAACTTGGAAAATTGAAGCCTGCAGCGAGCTTATTACAAAACTTACTCTTGTGCCCCAATTCTGCGTATTTTTCGTGCTTGCGTCAACTTCTTTCTTTCCTCTTGACATTTTCGTTTGCAAGAAACCTTGCAACCAACCGTACTTGGAAATTGCAACCTCGTTCTTCGAGACACTTACCAGTTGTGCGCGCTTTTTGTCCAGCCACAATCAAACAAAGGTGCTAACGCTTTTTAGTCTAGTTCCACATTACAACGAGGAGCACTTTCCGAACATCTAACGGAGTCAGTGTTGCAACGTTACGAAAAGGCCTTCCTTCTACGGTAAAATCGCTAGCACAAGTGAATCTGCAGAAAGAATGGAGTGCATTGTCTATTTGCTGATCGAAGAAGAGGTCTTCTGAGCACAGAAGTGGGTGAAATGCTTTTGTTTAAAAGAGTTGGGTATGAAATGAAAATTGCAATCTTGGCGTTTGTAAATAGTGCTAAGGTCATGGAAAAGCTACACCACCTTATCTAAGAATTGTTTTATAAGTTTTTTTGATGTCGACAAAACCTTGCAAGATTCAATCTTTGTTTAAAAGCTTAAGTTCCTAGCTGATAGAACGACGTGAAGATACCTTTGATTTATTTGCACAGAACCTGAACCTCATGAAGTTCAAAGCCAAAAGCCAAAATCAAAAAAGTTTTGTATAGCCGAAAATTTGATCTCCATCCAAAACATTTTCATGGAAGTTTAACTGCTGATGCGTGTATTACCCACATCAAACACTCGTACCACTACTGCTATAATTTTTCTTAGAAATTGAGTAGCAAAAAGTCGGATACATATATGTCATCTTCTTCTTTCTCATGCTAAAGTCGATGTATCTCAAACTAGCGTTTGTATCAGGCTGTCAGGAAAATAACGGATTTTTCCATGCCACCGTGGCAGGATCCCCGAAACTTGCGTATGGGAGATCATCTAATAGAGCAAAGCAAGCTCTAAAAGATGATGTCAAACATTTGCATATGTCATGTTCCATGCATAGTTTGAAGCTGAAAAGTAAGGAAATCTAAGTACCTCATAAGTCAGATCACAGCCAAAAAAAAAATTCTACGGATCTTATCAGTACCTACTGTAGACACATACAAGTATTGATATGTAAACTTGCTGTTATTTGTTCATAGCTAGAAACCAGAAAAAGACGATTAAAAAAATAGCGAACTTCGCCTCAAGCGGGTCCACGCCCTTCAAACTTATGCATTAATATGCTGCAGGCCTTCAAAAGCAAAACTAAAATTTACACAATTTTAGCACCACTGGTTCTCGAGGAAAATTAATTTTCAGAAAACGCGAAAAAGTCATTTCCTCGAAAACAATTAAACTGATAACTATGTTTTCTACTTTTCTTTCTTTTAACTATGTTTGTACTTTCAATGCTTTGTATCATGATTGCCTTACGGAAGAATATTCGATTAACTTGACAAAAGCATGTCAATTTTCATCTCTTCGATATTGAAAAATTGAAAAGTAGTGTATGCTTTGGCGTCTGATGTAGTGATTATAGTGAGTGGAGGGGGGGGGGGGAGAGGACAATCCAGCAAGGGTTTTTTCGGCAAGATATTATTAATGTGACTAAACTAAAGAGGATTTGGTCTCGATTAGTAAGCGGAAGATTTCTGCTACTTTTCTCTAACGATCATTTTATATGGGAAATCTTTTTGTTCAAAATGATTTCTCTTTTGATTGTTATTACTCGTTATCTTTATATTTTAGAGGTACTTCTGAATTTTACTCAGAACACCGAATTTTTTCGCTGCACTGCTCAAAAAGGGTTAACGAAAAGCAAACCAGCAACCACGATTTCTTCGTTTCCATTTAAAAGCTTGAGCTGCAAAAGATCCTACAGATTCCATGATTGGATACTAAATAGACGCATGGCTAGAGAAAACCCATAAATCAAGCACCAAGACGTTTTTGAACAAATAATCTCTGCTGTACTGAATTAAAAAAATGCTTTGACGTATAAACCCTTCAACTAAGTGTAGTGCAATTTTCATTCTGGTAACTCTGATTTGGTGAACTAACATCATTTTATTCCCATAGAACGCATCTTGCTTTCGATTAACCTCAACAAAAATCAGAAGTCCTTGACGAAGCTATGTAAATGTAGGGGTATTTCATGCATTCTTACTCTACTTTGTCATTTTCGTTTGTAATTAAGGACGTGATGTGGGTTACAGACGTGTGACATTGCCTTTTTTTATGGTGAGTACCTCAAAAAACAAATACAAAAAGTGAATTCATAAGCATCAGGCATTGGTGACTCTAGGGTCGCTTGCGGAGTAGGTGCGCCAGTCATTTTAACCCACGGCGAAGATGTGGACCACCGGTGGTCCACGCACTTTTTGCCGCCAGGGACTGGACACCGGTGGCGCTCACCCCTTGCAAGATCATGTCCTTTCGAGGCCTAGTATGTATCTTCTCCCCTGTTCAGTATTTTTTCCAGTTTTTTGCACCCTCGGAACCCGTAAACTTCGTCGTCAAAGAAGATGACTGTAGTTAAACACAAAACAACTTTACAATTTGTAAATAGTCACAAATCTTTCCCACGCCGAAGATGTTGTGCAAAATCGTCGTCCCACAGCGCCGTCGACTTGAAATGCCGTTTGGTAAGGTGCGATCTTCAAATTGCTTCCTACCCCTCAAATTCAGAACAGAAGCTGCATTCTTCAGTTTCATACGTACTTCTCTTACTGCTTGTAGTGAAAATACAAATATGTAGGCAAAGAATTCGTAGAGCATTACTTTTCGCTGTTTATCTATTCATTCAGCATACGCTACTATCTTGCGAACGAGCAAAGCGCCTTCTAACCCTCTTTTTTGTTAATATTTCCATGCTCAAAAAGGGACCATGGACTAAGACAAAACTGCAGATGCTGCAACTACAATAAGGGGATTTTTTGTTAACAATCATGGATTTAACCAAGGATAGTCCATTGGTACCAACATTCAATGAAAAGTGGCATCAAACTGGAGGTTTCGGAATTCTCATACAAAAGGGTGCATCAGAAATTCTTGGTGGTAAATAAGATGCCAAAACATATTTGCACCGGACTTTTTTGCTCTCGCATCCAAAGCCACCATAATTCAATGCTTTAA